TGACAGAAGTCATGTGAACAGAGGCAGTTGTCCCCACTGGGGACCGTGGGGAGAGTGGCTCCACGGGGCAGAGGAATCCACTTGGAGAGCAGAGGGTGGTAGGTACAGTTGAGTACCTCTGGGTCAGATGAAGAAGAGACATAAGTTTCTGGTGGAAACTCTTGTAGTTGATGCAAAGTCACCAGACGTCTTCAGGAGAAGGTAAGAGCAGGGCCTTAGAAGGGGCTCCGTAAAACTCTTGCCAGGGGGTTACACTGTCACACTCAAGTAGGAGGCTCAAAGCGGGAAGACCTGGTGTGAAAAGGGAGCTTGAGGAAGTGCCACAGGACTAGAAACAATTACTTTAGAAAAGCAGAGGCTATAGCGCTAAATTATTGCACTATTCTCTGCACTCTAGTGACCAGAAAACACTATGACTTAAATTTCTCTATCTACAGTTTCCCATGCCTGCTAATAACGTAGCCTAGAAAAGTTTCACTTCCTTGACTGCCCCTTTCAAGACCTCAAGGTTGGTTCTTCCGGGTTCCCTTTCCTATGCATTTGACTTTCCATCAGTTTCACTTAATACTTTACAGATGCTCTGATTGACTCCTTATGTAACACTTCATTCAACAGGTAGCCATATTATATATAAACTATGGAGGATACAAAAATAAGATATGGCCCCTTTTCTCCAGGAGCTCACTATCGAGGACTGACTGTGATTTGGTTTGCTTAATAATCATGAAGGAAGACTTCATCATGGAAAACCAAATAAAGCTACCCTGAAATTTCCTAAGAAAAAAAATCTAACATTACTTGAAAACCAGTAGAGTACAAGGAAGTAGGATTTCAGAATATGTTTCCTCCTCTTCAGCTATGTGAACTTTGTCTATCCCTACTTTAAGTGATTAGAGCCTGTAAAATTCAGTATGGCCTGGTATATTAGATGCTTTTAAATATGGTGTAAAATTTTTATTACAGAAAATTTCAAACATATGCAAAAGTGAAGAGAATAGTCTAACGAACTCTCTTATATACTCGTCACTCAGGAATTTTTCATCCTTGGGCAGGCTTACTTCATTTACACCCCAGTCACTCCTCTATGCCAAGATTATTTTGAAGCGAATGCCCAACATCATATCATTTTATATCATCTCCTTTGTAAATATTCTAATGTATCTCTAAAAGGTAAGGAGATATATATATATATATTATATATATATATATTAGGAGGAATAATAATATTGTAGTCATATATTATTCCTCCTAAAATACTTTACCGTAATCTCTTAATATCATATCCAATATATCGCCAGTTTTCAAATGTTTCCAGTTTCCTCCAAGCCGCATTTTCCTTCACAATTTTCTTGTGTAAAGCAGGATTCCAGTAAGGGTCAAACAATGCAATCGGTGGATGTGGTCAGTGTCTCCTAAGTCTCTTCTAATCCATAGGTTCCACCTTCATTTTTCTTCTTTCTGCTGCTTGTTTGTTACAGAAGCCAAGTAGTTTTTTCCATGGTATTTCCTACAGTCTGGATTTAGATAATTCCTTTTCTATGGAATCATTTAACATGTTCCCACTCTCTTATATTTCTGTTAATTGGTAGTTAACTCTAGAGGCTTGATCTGATTCAGGTTTGATTTTTTTTTCTTCTAATTTTCAGGAGCAAGAATACTTCCTAGGTATCGATGTTTATTTCCGTTATGAGTGATGTCTAGTTTTCTCTCTTTTTATGGTATTAACTGTCATTGAAGTTTATTGCCGAGATCTGTTATTTCATTGGGGGTTGCAAAATGGTAACTTTGATTATTAGTTGAAATAATTCTATTAAAAGAACTCTCCCCCCATTGACTGTCTGGTTACTCGGAGGTACTTTTGTGTAAGAAAAGTAGGACATATGTTTAATTCTTTCCCTTTATTTATCTATTTTTAAAATTATTAGTTGATTCCCTAGTACCCTCCAAAGATAACTGATTGCTAATGGATTTAAAAAATATAGATGTGCTTCATTCTGTTGTAGTAATTATGCTTATTAATGCTCAAAATTGTCCTATTTTTGGCCAATGAGAGCCTCTTTAAACTGGTTCCTGAGTCCTTTTGAAATGCCCTTCTAGTCACTGGTAGTGTCCTAGCTTTCTGATGTGACAGTGTTCCAGGCTGTCTTGTGTATTTCCTGCCCCGGATGGAATCAGCTATTTCTCCAAAGAGCTCCACTTTCTTCTACTAGGTCACTGTATTTAGAGACCACAGTCTGAACACTAAGTATGCTTATTGCTACTGGGTTGGTCATTGTTTCTAAGTCTTTTTAGCGGATAGAACTAGAATTTCTTTTTCTCTTAAGAAAAAAGATATTGTGAGGACTTCCCTGGTGACGCAATGGTTAAGAATCCACCTGCCAATGCAGGGGACATGGGTTCAAGCCCTGGCCCGGGAAGATCCCACATGCCGCGGAGCAACTAAGCCCGTGCATCACAACTACTGAGCCTGCGCTCTAGAGCCCGCGAGCCACAGCTACTGAGCCCACGTACCACAACTACTGAGCCTGTGCTCCAGAGCCCGCGTGCCACAACTATTGAAGCCCGCGCGCCTAGAGCCCACGCTCTGCAACAAGAGAAGCCACCGCAATGAGAAGCCCACACACCACAACGAAGACCCAAGGCAGCCAAAAAAAAAAATTTAATTAATTATTTTAAAAAGGTATTGTGAACTATATATTTCCAGTTCAGGTTGAGGACTCCAAAGCTGCACTTTACCTCACTGGTGTCACCTGTGTGACACCTTCTTCCTTTGCCAGAAATCCTGGTTCTTAGTGCAACAGCATAACCACTCACTTGCTTTCTCCCACGGCACACACAGTAGTCTCAGAATAACAAGGCCACACAACCAACAACAGCGTGATTATTGAAAATGGTTTATTTATTGCAGGTTCTTTTTATGTCTTTAGGATATGTTATATATTTCACTAGAGATGTACACATTTCTGTTAACCTATAATGCAAGTTACCCTGAATGAAATATCATTTCCATCTTTCATATTCTTGTCCTAAAATCTGAAACTACTGATTTCTAAAATGTTTAAATGCTTATTTATAATTTTTCTTTATAAAGCGAGAAAAAGGTTACAGATAGGACTAGTTGTAAGACTTATTAAAATAATTACGTTGGAGTGTCATAGTTGGATCCTCAACACATACATTGCCTGTTCTTTCTTATTAGATCTGACTCAGACAATTTCATTCATTCATTCATTCAAGAAATATCTAGTAAGTACTACATGACATTCAGACAAGGGGAGTAAAGAGGGAATTTAATATGTGTTGAGCATCTTTTGTACGTCAAGTATTATTTTAGCTGCTTTACCTACATTATCTTATATAATTTTTTAAGAACCTTTTAAAGCATACATTAGTAGTCTGTAACCAATTTTCAGATGAGTCAGTTGGAGCTCAGGGAGTTTCCTTTGTCCAAAGTCACAGAGATATTAAGTGGAAAACCCAGAATTAACATGTAGGCCTGTTTTATTCCAGTGTCATATGCAAGGTTCACTCTATCCTCAAGGAGTTAATGGAGGGTTTAGACACAGAAAGAACAAAGCACAATAGGAGTTCAAGCAAGAGAGGAATTAAAATCATGGGGCGTCACAAGAGAGGTGGCATTTCCCCTGATTTCCCAGAAAGAGTAGAATTTTGTTGGATGGGGAGGGACTGCATTGCACATGAAAAGGTGGAGATACACAAAATGGCATAGGCAAGAAAGTTCAACAGGTTCTTGAAATGATGAGTAGTCTGGTTTGGCCAAAGTTTAGTTTAATACAGGGAAATAGAGCTAAAACTGAAAAGGTCCCTTGGGACCCCAGTTGGACCCTGAATGCGATTCAAAGAATTTGAGACAGCCAGAAACTTTTGAAAGCTCTGAACAGGAGTGAGACATGATGAGGCTCAATCCCAGCCACTGAGTAGGCTTCATCTAACCCACAGCATCCTCCTTTGAGAGACTCAAAACAAAAACCAGCTTCATAGATCTGCACATCTCATGGGTTGGTCTGCATGTCTTCTGGCAATTTCTTGCTAAAATTGCACTCTTTGGGATGTTTTGCTACTTGATGTTTTGCCAAATTAAACTCTACAGTTGGAGAGACTTGGAATAGTCCCATAAGATATTGCACTGTGATTGGCAGGGGTTGCTGGAGTTCTCAGATATTAACAATGAAGTCTTACTGTAATTGGACATAATCTGCTTGTTGAACCTTCTTTGAGTCAAAGGCGTCTTCAAGTATTGTGACAACTCATCAGTTTCTTACAAGAGCTCTACTAAAAATATGCTTATCGATTTAATTACTTTAATAAGCATAGGATTATGGAAACAACAGGAAAAGCATCACAATTCAAGAGATTTTGGTAAAATTGAGTTCTGATTGGGTAAGGACTTTTTACTATAGAAATGAGTTATATCTCAAGTGTGTACAATAGACTCCTTACTCTGGGTACTTTCATTGGCTTAAGATCCTTCCTTTGCTCAGTATTAAAGTTCAAAAATGACTACTTAACCTGATATTCTTGTACATCCCCCTCATGGGAATTTCTAACACAGTGAATTAAGTCTCCCTATTATCTCGTTTTTATAGGAAAGTGTGAGGTTGCATAATTCGTGGTAACTCAACTTCCTCTTACAGTATGACATTTGCTATCTTAATTGTCCTTCCAGTTCATAATGCATAAATCAAACATGGTTGAGATCTGTGAAATCTGTCAGTGGTGGACCGTTCGTAATCTGGCAAGCTGTTGCCTATAATAGGACTAATTATGAAGTATGTCCTCTGTATTCTTTCCTTTCTTCCTTCCTTCCTCCCACCCTCCCTCCCCCTTTCTCTTTCTTTCCTTTCTCTCTCCCTTCCTTCCTTCCTTCCTTCCTTCCTTCCTTTCCTCCTTTCTTTCTTTCCTTTATTTTTATGCACTTCTTTCTAATTGTATTTCAAGTTCTTTCCAAAACAAGGCCTTTGGATACCCCAGGTTCAATATGCCCCTGGGCCTGGTCCACTGCTGTCTTGTATTCATGTGTGGGTATTCATTTGTTCACCAACATTAAATCCCAGGATACGTGTGATAAAACATGACTCCCTCCTCCATGGCACGAATCCTTCGCTGGTTTTAGAGGTGGACTGCAGTCTTTGCAGAAAACACACAGGAACGTTTTCTTGGAACTGAAGTGGGATGAAAAGTGCCTGCCCTGAACATCACCATCTTTTCCCTGACCCTTCCCCTCCAGTTTCTGAAGATACAGCAGAAAATAATCTTCCTTGAAGATACTGGATAACAATTCCATAAAACAAAAACACATGCTTCCACATGCACTGTGCTTTCAGCTACGTTGGTTTTAGTTCAGCTGCTGGGTGAGCGGATTGATGCATTCACCTTGACAGCCAGGTGAGCCCACTTCCTTGAGGAAGCCCACTCTATTCTTGGTAGCGTGACAGGCCACTGAGAGTTGGAAAGGGCGCAAGAACCCTGAGATCACCTGAAAATTCTTCCCCGGGAAGGCAATTTCGTGAATGAGGTCTTCCAAGCAAATGACACCAAACTTCCCCAGGTGCTCCTCAATCACTGTGTTGTCTGTCAGAGGGATGATTTTATTCTTGACCTTGGCTTGTCCACGTTTCAAGATGAGCTCCCGAACAGACTTCAGATTTGGAAATCCCCAGGTCACGTAAGTTTCCACTATCCGAAGCGTGTTTATGGTTTGAGGGGTTACTTGCATAAAGACACCACTGAAAATCTTACTCAGGCGAAGTCTTGCAATGGTCCTCTGCACCAGTAAACTCACCCCATTAATCCTTTCGATGCGTACAACAAAGGCCAAGGAATGTTTATCTGGCACTTCTAAGCCATGAGGTTTCACTTCTAGTCGTCTGAGTCGCACCCTCTCACGTAGTTGCCGCCAGGAATCATGTAGGAACCATTCTAGTCGCTTAAACTTGATCTCTTTTCCTCTCCTCTGCTCCTTCCTTTGCAAAAGCGCCTGCTCTGCCTGGGTGGCTTTCAGGCCCTGATAAGCCTTCCTCTTTTTCAGGAGATTTTTCTGAAACCAAAGGGATCTTTTTTCTTGCCTCTTCCTCTGCCATCTTTCCAACTCTCCCTGTCTCTTTCTTCTTTCTTTCTTTCTTTCTTTCTTTCTTTCTTCCTTCCTTCCTTCCTTCCTTCCTTCCTTCCTTCCTTCCTTTCTTTCTTTCTTTCTTTTTCTTTTCTTTCTTTCCTTTCTTTCTTTCTTTTCTTTCTTTCTTTCTTTCTTTCTTTCTTTTCTTTCTTTCTTCCTTCCTTCCTTCCTTTCTTTTTTTTCCTTTCTTTCTTTTTCTTTTGCTTCCTTCCTTCCTTCCTTCCTTCCTTCCTTCCTTTCCTTTCCTTTCCTTTCTTTCTTTCTTTTCTTCCTTTCCTTCCTTCCTTCCTTCCTCCCTCCCTCCCTCCCTCCCTTCCTCCCTTCCTTCCTTCCTTCTTGTTGTAATGGCTGAAATAGTCTCCTGACAATTGAGAGAACAGAATCCTATGTAGAGATAGGCATGGCTTTCATCAATACCCAAAACTACCCAGTTATGGAAGGTTTAAACCTAAGTGGAAATGTTTGCTGGACACATCTATACAAAATCCACATTTTTTGCAGAAATAGTCTATTAAGTATCATTGATGCCATATTTAAAGAATGAAGGTACTCATAGATAGCATTTTAATATCTTTAGTCAACACTACAGTGCAAAGCACAGATGGAGGGGTCAGTGATTCCACACTCACTATTCCTGACAGAAGATTTTATCTGAGATAACTGTAGTCATTTGATATGTTAGCTTCAATTGCTAACATAAATTTGTAATTTCTCATTTTGTATTGGTGTAGACCCAGATATGTGTTCAGGTTACAGTTGTGGTTCACACCCTTGACAGAACTTTAAAATCACCTGGAGGCTTCTAAAAATATATCAGCACTGACGCCCCATCTCCAAAGATTCAGATTTAACTGGTCTGGCTGCAGGGTCACAACAGTTGCACAGGTTCAGGGAGTACATTTACCATAGAACATATTCATCCCTCAGAGCCCGCAACCTCCCAGAGCACAACTACAATGTGTTCCGTGTGAAAGGTGCCTGCTGTACTTGTGCAAACTTGGGGCCAGAGAGAGGGCTTGAGCACACCTGGTTTTAGAAGCCCCCCAGGAGATTGCAATATACAGCCAGACTTGAAAACCATTTTGAGGTAAAACATAGCCTAGATGTTAAGAGCATGGATTTAGGAGTCAAGCAGAAATGGATTCAAAATCTTGCTGTACTACTCTCTAGCTGTGTGACCTTAAGAAAGTCATTTAACCTCTCGGGACTTCAATTTCTTCGTAAATAAAAGGGTGATACCCGCCTTGTGTGATTATATTCAAGAAAAAAATAAAGACAATCTGAGTGAAATGCTTGGCACAAAGTTAACTCTCAAGAAGCCACTGTTGGGGCTTCCCTGGTGGCCCAGTGGTTGAGAGTCCGCCTGCCGATGCAGGGGACGCGGGTTCTTGCCCCGGTCCGGGAAGATCCCACATGCCGTGGAGCGGCTGGGCCCGTGAGCCATGGCCGCTGAGCCTGCGCATCCGGAGCCTGTGCTCCACAATGGGAGAGGCCACAACAGTGAGAGGCCCGCGTACCGCAAAAAAAAAAAAAAAAAAAAAAGCCACTGTTATTATTTCAGTTATTAAAGCATAATTTCTGTATTAGTCCAGACTCCTTCAGTACTAAGTGACAGAAATCTAACTCAGACGACCTGGAGCAAAATGGAGAATCTGAGCAAGCCACAAGAAGAGTAGGGCTGGATTGGGTCTTACGGACTCCTGCAATGGGATGCTGTTAGGACACATACCCTCTCTCTCTGGTGCTTATTCCACCTTCTTTCATGGTGCCTTCATTCTCTCAAGCCAGCTGTCCCCTTAGAGGCTGAACTATGACCTTATGCAGCTCAAAACTCAAGACTTACATCTTTACAACCTGTTAAGCACAGAAGAACCAAGTAATTCATCACATCCAACTCAGTTGGGAAAATCACAGTGGCCTAGCCTGGCTCCTTTGTTCATCCCTGTTGTCAAGGTGTGTAATCCTTAAAGTGGGGAGAAATGGTGATGTGCAGATGAACACAGTAACTACCTTTATTTTCACTATTGAGACCTGATTCAAACTATATAAAATACATAAAACCTCTGCCATCTAGGATCTATTAGCAGATAAGGAAGGACAGCAGTGAAGTCCCAGAAGCAATAAAAAAAAAGTACCCTGAATTTATAATACCTATTCTCTCAGCTCTTCATGACCTAAAATGAGTTTAGGGCAAGAAAAGCATTTGTTAGACTTTTCTGGCCCAGTTTACCTGAGACACTCAGGTGACCAGGCAGATGCGGAGCTGGATAAGTTGATGCCACACTCCCAGCAATCCGCGTGGTTGAACACCTGAAGTGTTCTCTCCTGCCACCTCCACCGCACGGTCTCTCCTTACCTCTACAGATGGGAAAACTTAGGAGACTTATTTATAGGAACACACTCTACAGATGCACTGTGTATTTATCCAAGAAGGAGGCAATGAGGAAGAATGTCACTGAAGACTCAGAGACATCCTTTAACATTTGAATTGTTCTGACCAGTTACCTCACATTTGTCTTAGAGAGGCAGCAAATGTCATAAAAGAGGAACAGGCTTCATAGTTTTATAGCAGTGTGGTTTTGACAAGTCATTTAACTTCTCTGAGCTTCAGTTTCCTGATCTGTGAAATGAGGGCAATAATATTCCACAGGACTATTGTGAGAATTGAATGTATTTGATAAGTGATAACGTATTTGAAAGTCAATTGCACTCTACACAGTTGATCTTCGATAAGTGGTTTCAGTGTTTGGGGTTGAGTTTTATATTTTAAAAAATTACCGAAGAGGCCTTGCTATGAACATGCTTTCATGTATTTAGACCCAGTAGAGAGGGTGACCAGGCATATAGTTGAATATTCTAGGAAATACTGCAAAAGATGCATGAGTATCATTGCTGCTCACTGACCTTTGGGTCTTAGCATGTTACTTTGTGTTACTTTATGATACATAAATGAGTGACGAAACTGCTGGCATTCACTTCAAGTGACCCTGATACTTTACTGGTTCAGCGGCATTATTTAGGAAGGCACCTGACTCACTTCATTCTGACATGGTAAACACTACAGAGAAGAAAGCAAAGAAGAACAAAGTCAAATGTTAATACCATTAGTAGCTCTTCTATGTCAAATGGTGCTTCTGGGATTTTGAGGCCTCTTTACAGTTCCTATTCAGCCAAAATAAATTGGTTATGGGTGGATAAGAGTTGGTGGGAGGATTATATAAGTGAATGTGTAAAAGCCAACTGGCTCGTGGCCAGGGACACAGATGGCACTCTCATTGACTCTCTTGGACAACATCAAGCTCTAGATTCTGTGCTGTGGACTGACTGGGTGTTCTCTGTTGGCAAGGAGCCTCATCCCAGACAGTGATATTCAGATAGTACGCATCACAACGGGAGAGGCCACAACAGTGAGAGGCCTGCGTACCACAAAAAAAAAAAAAAGTATAAATATATATATATATATATATATATACTAGAAAGCTTTGATAATTAAAATAGTGTAGTGTTAGTACATGAATAGATAAACAGACCAGTGGAAAGGAACAGAATATCCAGAAATAAATGCAAGAACATGTGGAATTTTAATGTATGATAAAGGTGACACCTCAAATCACTAGGGCAAAAAGGGAACTTTTCTTGAGTCTTTTTATCAGGAGAGGCAACCTGTCCTGCCCCTAACCCACCCAGATATTAAAGTGCCTGCATCAGTACTTCCAAAACAAGTGTCAACAGTTTATAAGAAAAACATGACAACCTAATCTATAGAAAGCAATGGGTTGAGGACAAGGAGAGTGGATGAAATGAAAGAGATGTTTAACAACATTCACAACATTCACCCAAAAAAAAAAAAAAAAAGTATATATATATATATATATATATATATATAGTAGGCATCTTCTCTGACCTTAAAAATGGGGGAATTACCTTTCTAAGTTTACACTAGTGTTAAGACTCCATAACCTAAAGCCCATACTTTTCCCAGAAATGAAAATTGCTTTTGGTATAAAGCAGAGATGATTCAAATGAAGGAGAATGAGATTACCTCTGCCTTTTAGGAGCAAGAGATTAAATAGCACAGAATTGCCTATATCAAACAAACATGAGTAAAGGTCAGCTATGGATTTTAAATTGTTCAAAAGATTGTTACTTTGACATGACTAAAATGTAGGGAGCAAATTGATGAGAATATCTCAGCAGTGAAGGAATGTGTTTTCTTAATATTTTTTAACATCCGGTCTTGGTACAATTTTATTTCAATTTCTGCTAATACAACCACATAAATGCTTGATTTAAGTCATTTAAGTATCCCGTGGCAACATGATCTTGTGCTTCTCTCTTTCATTTCCTTCCTGTCCCTCCCCTTCTTTTTTCTTGAGAGAATCAGGAAGAGGTTTCCCATTTCTTAACTCTTGAATCTGTTTATGAAAATTGGAACTAAACAGTTTAACACAATTAAGCAGGATGCCTCATTCATCAAACCTTCATTTTTCTAAGACTCCAGCCTGTCAGTCACCAAAAAGCGTGTGTTAAGTGCAAGCTGTGCTCCTACTCTGTTGGCGTGCTACATCTGTTGACAATTACAGAGGCACATATGATGCCATTCCTGTCATGGCATGTGCTTCCTTGTGCCTCTGGTCACAGGCCTTCAGGGACATTTACAAAGTGTGTCCTGGAACTAAAGAGTTTAATTTTGCCTGCTAATGTGTTTATGTATCTTGTAAAGGAACTAATCATTCCCTTTTGCTTTCCCTTATTATGGGGTGTGTGTGTGTGTGTGTGTGTGTGTGTCTGCACCAGAAAAGAACCATGCCATATAATAAGCATAAAGACCTTTTTCTCATACCCACCAACCTTTCTTGTAAACCGCTGCTTTTATTTTTTTTTTATTATTTTGTCAAATAGCATATTTCTTGGCTTTTCTTGGATTTTATCTATTTTTTGAATACTACTGAATTCTGATTTCATATTTAGTCA